TCTCTCTCTCTCTCTCTCTCTCTCTCTCTCTCTCTCTTTCTCTCTCTCTCTCTCTCTCTCTGTGTGTTATGTTATTAACCGTTATTTTACAAATGCATATGCACTCCTCTTAAACTGTATACTGCATGTTTCTCAAGCTCACATTTCCTCCCGACTACTGTTGCAAGCCTAAGGAGGAGTACTGCCCACGTCCTTCAGCCTATACTCCACGAGGACCTCCTCTCTTTCTTTAAAAATATCAACAAATCTATGATCATTGTTCATGCGAATCACTTCCTCTTTCTTCTTCCTCCTTACGGAGTATAGGTGTTCCCATATATTTATGGAACTCTACACAACAACTTTATTTATGTCGAGAGAGACCACATTGATCGTCACTTTTTCGATACCAGTTTTGCACGTTGTTATGATGGCTTATTCAATCGTTATCATTTCCTTGCTTGTTGGAGCCGTACGTGCAGGTCGACTTCTTTTGCTGATGTGACAATCCAATACCATATGCGCAAATGCGAGTTGCTGAAGGGTGCAACCACTCCGGCCCACATCGTTATAATCTCTGTACAACACATCTTGCACTGCGGTCTTGAACTCCATCGCGCCCCATGGTTCATTGCCTTTAATCCTCCACGATGAATCTCCAGTCATTCTCGTCTGCATCTCCTCTCGCTTCACATCCAAACGATCTCTTACACTTCCGCATGGATACGACAACCCTGCCGCGGTCCAAAACGCTCTAACAACGTCATAAGCAATTTCTCCTCTGATGTTTGTCAATTCTGTAGACCCGAGCGTGCGAATCATCGAAGGCCCTTTCCATCCTATCGTGCGATGAACAATATCTTGTGCTTTCGTGTCAAGAGAACTGACGAGTTCCATGAAAGTTTTCACATACACCTCAATTGAGGGGTATATCTCTGCATCTCGTGCTCGATAAAAACAGAAAGTTTTTGCCACGCAACGCAACAATTGCTTCATCATTTTCGAGTGTGCCTGCAATATCAGAATGTCCTCACACACCAGCTCCTTAGGAGTTTTGTTCACCTTCACGTTGCTCTGGACACGCTCCCGCATCACTGTGCACATACACACACACATTTCAAGCGTCATACAGGAGTAAGTCAAACCACCGATGTTGTCATTATAGTATTACAAGGAACCCCGTTGCAGCCACATCCGTGCTCAAGCCTCCAAGGAGGAAACATGCAAGAGTTGCACCCACCAGCAGGTGTGATACTTGCTACAACCAAAAAAAGAAGAATTGTAAACGAATAACATTTATGGACACTCTCTTCATATAGTTTCCCGTTATGCTTACATTGCTGAAAACAAGGTGATTCGGTTGTGTCCTTTACCTATTGTTCGGTCAGTTGCAAAATTCCGAGTCTCTTCTTCGTTATCTTTTGCAGTCTCTTCATCCCCGGCGGCAGCAACTGCGGCTCCCAATTCACAACCTCTTTCTTGTACGTTGGAGGACAAAACACTTTTGTGTTAGTGTGAATTGGATCACATGGTGGGCAACCACCTGCTTCCTAATATTTCCAAATATCATGCGGTTGAAAACAGGATGTTTGCACCATGATGGACGTAAGAACAATTCGGTCCTCAATCCTGCATATTTAAGCAAATAAAGTTGAAAACAACCAGACAACGGTAAAAGCCTTTATATGGCAAGCTCTTACGCCCACACTACCCGAGCAAGGTGGCAGAACTTCGAATAATTTTCAGGATCATGCAGTTTGTCTGTGCATTTCAGTTCTCTATTATACACACACTCATTCTGATACATACTCACACAATACCCTGCATGATGACATCACAATAATAACTATGTTAGGAACATGCATTCATAGAGTTCTCAATACACCTTTCAGATTCTGAATACCTACTAATATAGCATCTTCTCACACACAACCAATCCAATGGTTACTTAATCTTCCTTCTATGTACGGAATTTCATCCTTTCGTCACCTGAAACTCTTAGTTGTAAGAACTTTACTGCACTATTTGCTTCTCTTTATATCAACTAATCCTTTTCAGTTCTATACTTTCCCATATTCGACAGCATGTGCATGCAATGCCTCCATAAGTTCTTCACATCTCTATCGAAGATTCACCTTGTGCTGAAAGTCTGCAGGTACGTGCTGAGATGACCCGCTTGACTCAACTGTCAATAGACTATTGAAATGTTTAAGAGCATCACGGGAGTACATAAGGAAGCCTGCATAACGTCGTCGTTGAAGGTCCTCATCCGACACTTCCTGTTGAGTGTACTCGTCATCCTTCGACCAAATGCTTTGCAAGATACAAAACTGATCATCACTGCATGGTTCCGCAGACACCTGCAAAGGGCCTCTGAATTTCGTTCATCCTCGCAGCACGTCTTCAATTTTTTCCCATGTCCTGCGTTGCGACAAACTTCCAACGCCTTGATAACACCGACTCTCTCTAAAGTGTCTTTCCACCGAGTGCTTTCCCATCGCTTTAGACGTATTTTGCGTTCTTTCATCAGCTCGATTATATACAGTGCCTGCCCCGTGAACGTGACCGGTACCGGTTACCAACCCGTGACCGGCCGGTCACCGGGCCTAAATCCCGTGAACGGCCGTTCACAGGGTTTACGCCCGCGGGGGCGGCGGTGCGGTCGGGATGAGGGCGGGAGGGGGGTGGTGCTGGGCCCTTCTACACCCCCGTACCTTCAAATAAAAAAAAAAAAAAAAAAAAAAAAAA